GACTGGTGGAGCAGCTGTGGATTCTTCATTAGTTAAAAGATACTCACTTAAGTCAGAAGCCATGTGCGACTCATCATCCTGACAATTTTTACCGTCAGCACTAACATGCCTAGAAAATCTGCTTATAAGACACGTTTTCATGGCAGCAGTGAACTGAGCTAAGGTGAGGTCAGAGCTACTACCTCCACACTGACGGATGAGACAGAAAAAATTTTCAAGAGCATCTTGGTTAATATTCCGCATCTTCAACACTTTCACATTGTCTTTCACTGAACACCACAAAACACGGAATGACTTTATGTTTTCAATCCATCCCCGCACACAAGGAGGTATGTGTCGGACACCATCTTTCTTTCTGATGAAAGTCCAAGTCTGCAGCTTAGAAAGCATGGTTTTCCACATTTCCTCCTTGATGTGGGGAGAATTGGCTGAAACATTCACTCTGAACTTTTTCTGGTTTTCTTTGGAATCCTCATTTGTTTTGGGCCCATTGCAGAGGTCGAAGAACGTATCAATGTCGTCACAGAGCTCAGCAAAGGGTAAGCAGTGCGAGAATTTCTTCCCCTCACTGATGGAGACAATAGCCTTGATAAATTTGGAAACAGAAGAACTAAGCACTTGAGCAGCATACGAAACCCGCATCTTATCTCGGCCCTTGGGATTGACATGCCGCATTGTTAGAGAACTTAATTTAATTCTTGACTGATCATATACATAAAATTCTATCAGTTGATGCCATTTGGCAACTTTTCCATTATTAAATTCCAAATCGCTGGTGATCAGATTATTTCTTATGTTCTTCAGGATATGTGGCATGTCCCAAATATGCACAAGCCTCTGTTTACCTACAGAATACATAATACCATCACCATTCTTCTGGCGCAGCTCAGCAATTGCAGTCCTATTTGTGGGGCCCTGATCTGAAACCGTAGCTTTTACTGTGAGGCCAATCTCAGTAAGTGCCTTGACAACGTCTTCAATTAAAAGCTTTAACAGAGCAGATGGGCAGGTCTTACTTACAAAATAGTAGGCAACAGGTTGAGTCCACTTTACATGTAGGCCTTGCACCATAAACACTAAGGCATGGTCCGCAACATAATTAGTTCTCCCCCGCTGCCCTAAATTTTCAAAGCCATTCACAAGATTTTGTCGAATACTATAAAATAATCGTCCACGTAAGAAGACCTCATCAAATAAAAGGACACACTGGCGATCTCGGGCTTTCAGGGACTCCACCTTTTTCTGAAGCAAAGCAAGAAAAGGTTGAGAAATTCCAGGCTGAAGGTTGACTTTGTTTAAGAGTTTTTTCAATGAAGCTTCACTAGGAATTGTCATATATTTTGAGAGGAATCTGAATGCCCTGAGTCCTCTTTTCATAACGGACAACCAGAAGAGTTTGTCCTGGAGTGACCAGCGCCTGCCATGGGGCTTTACCTTAAAATTTTTCATCTCCCCCTCAAGGATAGTCCGGGACACTGTTGATATAACAAGCTCATTGAGAATATTGATGGTCTTATCATTCAGTGTCCTGGAGAGCTCTTTGTTCAAGCGCTGAGCAACTGACAATTTCCTTCTGAATTCTGTGGCCAGTAATCTATATTGTTGGGCAGTTTTCAGCACTTTATGAACATTTTGATCTTCAGTATTGTAACTCACACCAGACATTTGTGCAAGATCCTTCAATCCAATTCGGCGCTGTGTTCCTTCTCTCTCTCTTGCCCCAGTAGATATCAATGACCCTGTACAAAAATGGAATGTAAATAGAAACATGGTCCATGAAAGAAGCAAACATGTGTGCAGTAGTTTGAAAAACCGCACTTCGAGGTGATGTTGGTTGAGGAAAGTTCATGTGAGGATGTTTAGGATCTGGCTCAAAATCACTATCATCATCATCATAAGTTTCAAGAGGGCGTTTTCCTGAAGAGATTGAATATTATAAAAACAAAATTAACACTCCGGTGTGGTATTAATACAGAATGTAAACCAGACCCACCAGTGTGGTCCTGATCAGGTACATTTTCTGTACTGTCCATAGTGGTGTCTTGAGTGTCATCACTCGAAGGTGGTGTCAAGGGTGAGCTGCCAAGATGAATAGGGAAAATATCTGCACTACACCCCACATTGTCATCACTATCATCATCATTTCCACTAAAAACAAATACTGGAAAGTGTAACAAACACAATTAGTGGTAGATAGAGGACAACAACCGTTATCAATTAAAGTAGTTCGGAGATATTATGTAAATAGGTACCATCTGGATGATCATATTTCTGCATGACTTTATCGCTTAATAGAGGGTTGGCAAAGAGTGACTCTGAGGGTTCAGCATTTAAGCGCAGTTTGATGTGGAACTTATTTGTGAACTGGCTTGGGTGAAAATGTTTGGGGCACAGGTACCTATTTAGATGAATTTGCCTCGCATTCAACTTCAAAAGATTTTCATTGCCAGACAAAAGAATCCACTTTCTTTGCCTGCAAGCATAATAATTTTATTCACATGTATGCAATCTCTTGTAACAGATATATAGTTTAAAATCCTACCTTGCTCCTGGCTGAGGAAAAGGGCACATTAGCTTGTCATCTCCTGGAACTTTGAAACTTGTGCAGCCCAATGCAGCGCATCTCTTCTTTTTTACACCCATGTTTGACTGTAAGAGATGTATAATGTCCAAGGAATTGCAAAATTGACAAAGTAGGAATAGGTGCACATAAGTCCAGCAGGTTAGGTCCAAATAGAAGCACATTTGTTTTAACTATTAAAAAACAAAAATAGAACTCCTGTCCTGTAATCCCATCAGTTATGCTAATGTACCAACCTTGAACTTCTACCGGGAGAGTCTCAGCTTCGGTCTCCTCTTCTGGGGTGGATCTGGACACCAGACCTGCAGAAGTCAGACAGCAGCCTCTTTAAAGCAGAGAAGTCACATTAAATGCATGATACAATACCAGATCATTTAGTGAGTAACATTAGTGGGTAATATACACAGCACAGATAAAGTGCTACATACACAGAGCCGCCAGTCTCCAAGCTTGTTGAATTCATAATAATTATGATGTATGTATGAGAGACACAAATATTTAAGAACTAGTAATAATTACTGATGGAGTACAAAGTATGCCAAACCTCATCAACATCAGCCACATCCACGCCGATCCATAAGCCGCCATAAGCAGCTCAGAAACTACACAGCAAACCCAGCTGACGAGAAAAACTGACGGCCAGTACCTGAAACAGTTAGGCAATAGAGTATAAATGGCAGTCCAGAACATAATTATTATTAAAAGCTGGCACACATCGAGCAGGTCAGAAAGATGCTGGGAGTCAAATATAAGAAAGCAAGATTTTGCAGATTACAGGTGAGCTTCTTGCTACACCACTAGAAGGATGTCAGTTTAAACCAAGGTGTCGCTTGACTATGCACAAGTCCAATTTTTTACGAAAAACAGGAAAAAAATGCTAGTGCAAAGCTCAAACGGTTGAGACAGCTGCAAGCAAAGCAATGCATACTGATATTAAAATTCAAAGCCGGGCGATAGGTTAGTTCTCTCACCTGGAGAAACTATGAATTTGACAATTA